GGCAAACAGCTGGCATCCATTCCAATGACACGGACCCAAACATAAACAAAGCAAGGCCGCGTGAGACGTGAAAGGCACCTGCCAAAACTCAAAGACACACACACACATACACATGCACACACACATACACACACACACACACAAGAATGCAAGTGGAGTGCAGTGCAGTGTCGAGTTGGATCAGACCTGCATGCCGATGACGGCGTAGACGAAGAAGAGCATCATGATCAGAGCAGCAACATACGGCAGCGACTGGAACGATTTCGCAAACGTCCACAGCAGCCGCTTCATGCCCTTACCGCGGCTCACAAGCTTCAACAACCTGCCACGCACATGCACGCCAGCATGAGTTATTGAGAACAGACAACGTACGTGTACAATGAGGCACGGGTTCATCCCGCCAATGGAGCAAGAACAAGGACGCACGCAGTTTACACACGCACGTCTACACTCACACACACGCACACACACACACACACACGAATGTCAGCACATACCTGGCCACACGGAAGAGCCGCAAGAATCCAATGTTGACACCGCTATCCCCACTGCTTTGCGTTGCGGAGAGAAACACATCCACGAGGGAGCCGACGACGATAATAAAGTCGAAGAAGTTCCACGAGTCGTGGAAATAGCCCGTCGGGTTGAGCGCAAACAGCTTCAGCAGCGCCTCCACAGTGAAGATGCCTGTGAAGACAATGTTGCACAGTTGCAGGCCCATCTGCACACCAAAGCCCCCCCCCCCCAACACGCACCACACATGAAACAGGCAGCAAGTGAGTGGAAGCACGAGCGGGCAACGTTTGAGAGGAGAGCGAAAAAAAAATTCGCGAAAAGGAGGGGGATGGGGTGTTGCGACAACCGCGCACACGCACTCACATGACCACGCACTCTCGTGCACCCCCAGCACACACACACACACACACACACACACACACACACACACACACACACACACACACACACACACACACACACGCACGCACACACACACACACGCACATGCGCGCACACGCACACACACACGCACACACATGACCACGCACTCTCGTGCACCCCCAGCAAACACACGCACATGCACACATACACACACACACGCGCGCGCGCGCGGGGCCACAAAATCACGCATGCACACACACACCTCGTAGTCGCTGGGCATGCCCTCGTAGGCCATGAGCAGGACGATGGAGTTGCCGATGATGGCGGCCATGATGAACCACTCAAAATGCTTGCTGCTCACAAAGCGGAAAATGCTAATCTGTGCGCGGTAGAGAGGACGGTGCACGCGAATCGGCTGTGCATTCAAGCAAAACGCCAGACATTTTCGCTGGTTCTTGTCCAGGCCGTCCACAGCCTCATACGACTCGCCCTCGCTCGAGAAGGTGATGATCACATAACCAACGAAGATGTTCAGCATGAAGAATGCAACCTGCACGCAGGAGTGATGGACATGAGGTTGAGTGAGTTTGCGGGGGGGGGGCCATGATACGCAGCAGTAAAAGCATAACCTCAAGCAATTGGTGAATGTGGAAGCATCACCACCACAACCACACGCAAAGCTGTCCTGTGCACACACACACGCACACACACACGCACATTCACCACAGTTGACCAACCAAAATGACGTATGTGACAAAGAAAAGCGCGGCAACAGGGTTGTTGTTTCGCTCCGGCTGCCGATTCTCGGCTGTGCAGTCGATGGCATTGTTCATCACGTCGATCCATCCTGTCCACACCCACGGCAACACCACAGCAAGTCAAAAGCAAGCATACATAAGTGCACATGCCACGAATGAGTGATTACCACAACGAGGGAGCTGGGTGGCATCATAAGGTACGAATCAAACGCCCACGCACCTGCTGCTCAAGCACACCCTCGTTTCGACACACACACACACACACACAAATGATCTCTTGCACACTCATTTCCACACATACTCACACACATACACACACATACACACATACACACACATACATACACATACACACATACATACACACATACATACACACATACATACACACATACATACACACATACACTTGCACCGCGCGTCCACAAGATACCCGGCTACAACACGCACCTTCGAGTGTTGAGACAGTGAAGAGGGTGAGCATGCCCTTGCCGACGTTGTCAAAGTTGAAGTATGGCGTCGACCACGCGCGTGTGGCGTTCGAAAACAGACCGGCGTCATCTTCCACCAGAAACGTGCCGTTGCACTGCGACTTGAACATCACATCCGGGTCTGGCATGTGTGTGGATGCGTGTGTGCGCACGCGTAATGCAATTCGTGAAAGTGTGAACACCGAAGCGCGTGAGCAGCGGCTCAGCTCGGCAAAGAGAGTGTGCGAATGCGCGCATGTATGCGTGCATGTATGCGTACATGTACGCGTTCATGTGTGTGTGTATAAGTGCATGGGTGTGTGCGTGTGTGTGCGTGTGTGTGCGTGCGTAAGATGTGCAGGCAGAACGCAAGCGTCCGCGCACTGTGCAACTCACCGTTACAGCGACCAAAGCATTCCTTGAACGACTGCACGCCGATGATGGCGTAGATGAACGTGAGCAGGAATGTCACAATGAACACATTCCCAATCGTCTTGATCGACACCACCATGCAGCTGACGACTTTGCGCAGCCCCGGTGCTCGCTTGATTGCACGGAGCGGGCGCAGAACGCGAAAGACGCGAAGAACGCGAACAACCGCAGCATCGTCGCTCTGCAGTGCGTCCAGAGAGGCGGTGTGCAAGAGATTGAGGTGTGTGAATTGGCGAGGAGAGGAAGCGCAGGCAAACAGAATCACGAGCGTAAATCATGGAGAACGGAGACACTAGCTCAGCACAGAACGAGCAATGTGGATGTGTAAACGTGTGGAGTGCGCACATGCGACACAAAGCAAAGACACAAGAACGCAGTCAGGGGCAGTTGTCACCCATCGTCAGTGCACAGCAACGCACAGAGATGGCAAGGGAGACAACTGAGGCGAGAACAACAACAGCGTCCAGGTCATTCCACGGATCGGTGATGTACGGGATGAAGCCGAGCGCCACTGGGAAGAGAAAAGAGGTGACGACAAACAAAGGGAGGGGGCACAAGCGTGAGTTGATGCACATCAGAGGTGGTAAAGCATTCTTCACAACGGCAAGCATGCGCACGTGGGCAGGTCACACAGTTTATGAACCCTATCTGTCGTAGCAGTGGTGGTGCCAGTACACACATATACACACATGCGCGCACAGAAACACGCACCAATCTTCAATGCCATTTCCAACGAAAACACAGATGTGAAGAAGATGTCCGCTGTTTCCAAATCCTTGTTGATCTGCAAACCAAAGTGGATGGTCGGGCAAAACGGTGGGGTCAGAGTCGTCAAGAGGCTATCACATGCACAAGCACCAACCGCACGAACACGAAGGTGACGGCACACACAGCAAACACACACATACACACATACATACACACACACATGCACACACAGATCACCAGAGCATACACACACGCGCACACACATGCACACACACACAGAACACACACACAAACACAATGTGCACCTGCGCGTCAAGATTGACGGGGTCCTCGGCAGCAAGAAGAGCGCTGCTGATGAGAATGAGGAGAAGAATCACAGACTCAAACCGGTTGTCATAGGCGATGTTGTTGCAGAACTTGCGGAAGGAATTGCGTGGCCCAAGACAAAACAGCGACTTGTTGTTCGCAACAGCGCGCGTCAGATGCTTGCGAAGCGGCACATTGTCAACGTCGCCTGCGCACGTGGTGTGTGGTGCGATATATATATATATATATATATATATATGTGTGTGTGTGTGTGTGTGTGTGTGTGTGTGTGGATTAAAAGAAGGAAGCGGTGCACGAACAGCAGGCTTCGTTGACCGCAATACAATCACGCCTCACATGCACAGGTGCATTATGCACACAAAACATTATCACACACACATATTCCCCAACACAGCGAACACACGTACAGAGAACGGTGTTCTGGAGCTCCACTTCTTCTTTCTCTTGCTCCTGTGCAACAAACGACCAAAGCAACAAGGAAATGGCCATGAGTAACAACGCATGCAACCGCCTGCCACACTTCACCCCGTGACAAAAGCACACTTGGACGCGTGTGCACACATACAAACCAGCATACACCAACGAACACACCAACACACACCACAAAATGCCACTCTCCGAGGTGTGTGTGTGTGTGTGTGTGTGTGTGTGTGTGTGTGTGTTGCTACCGCTGCGCCGACGAGCGGGTTTGCGTATTGGCGGTGACGGCGGCGGTCCTCACGATCGTCCTCAGACTCGTCGCTCACGGCCGCCTCAGCCTTCCACCGCTCCTTGTGCTGTCAAGGTTGCATGGTGGGATGATATGAGCCGACGACTTGAGGGTCATGACATGCTGTGTGGTGGAGATCACATGGCACGAGCAAATGAGGGGCATGGGGCGCAGCACACACACACGCACACACACACACACACACACACACACACACACACACACACACACACACACACACACACACACACACACACACCCCTCCAAACGACCGGTGAGCACTGGAATGCCATTAGCAGTGCAAGTGGTGTTCACACCTCGTCCCTGGCGGCCTTGAGGTCGCGTGCATCATCGAGCGATTTCACGGCAATGGCAAGGAAGACGTTCAGCAGGACAAACATGCCGAGAATCACCACCACACAGAAGAACACAATCGCAACCCAGCCCTGTTGTCCGTGGCAACGAAGCAGCCATGACACGGCAGCGTGTGTTCACCAGAATGAGGGTGTGAAGACAAACAACAAACGCAAACCAACGACAAGCATCATCGTGCACACATGCATTCACATATACACACAGGCACACACACACACACATCCACACATGCACACACATACGTCTTTGTTGACGCCGTTGTAAGCGAGGATGCCGTTGTACATGACGCTGTTCCAGTCATCACCAACAATGACGATGAACACCGTCAGCAGCGCAGAGAAGAAGTCGTCAAAGTTGATGCGCGGCTTTGGATCCTCAAAGTCAAACCTGTTGGTTGGCAGCAATCAAAGCGACCGCAGTGGCGGTTAACGGTGGCGGTGGCGGTGGGGAATGGGAGGGAAATGTTGGGGTTGTTGGTGGAGATGGGAAAAAAAGTGATTGGGTGAGCAAGTATGGCTGATGAGGTGGCACGCCATCGTGTTGGTCCATCAGTGCACCCATCATACGCAGAGGCAAACGCACGCCTCCATTGCCCACAAACACGACATGCGGACACGAGAACATGACGCAGCGGCACGAGCAAAACAAACACGAGAGCACGACGAACACACACACACACACACACGATCATCCACAAACACATACAGTCAGAAACACATGCATTCATGCACACACACACACACAGTTAAGTACATACGAGATTATCCACACACACATTTAAATACACACGAGATCATCCACACATACACAGAGGGTCGCACCTGCCGCCGAAGATTTGCATGCCGAGAAGAGCGACGATGACCATGTAGATGAGGATGAGCAGCAGTAGCGAGACAATCGAGGCGATGCTGTTGAGGAGAGAGACAACAAAGTCGTTGATGTCCTCCCAGTACTGCTTCATCTCGCGGAAGATGCGCAGCAGACGCAGCGACCGCAGCGCGCTGATGCCAATGGAGCGCAGACCCGTCGTGTGCACAAGGATCAACTCAAGCAGACTCAGCAGCACAACCGTCAGGTCAAATCGGTTGAACTTGGACTCAAAGTACATGTGCGGCCGCAACCCGGCCAGCTTCACCAGCATCTCAAGTACAAACAGGCCCACAAACGACGCTTCCACTGTGGGTTGGTTGAACGTTGAGGAGGGATGAGTGCAGTCGAAGGAAGGAGGCGTAAGAGAGGTATGAGACAAAAGGAAGGAGGCGTGAGAGAGAAACAGCACAGGCGCCAGCTGACACTGCTAGACCATGCCCTCGTAACGCAAGAAAAGTACAACACGGCACACAACATACAACGGAGAATACAACATGAACAAAACGCTAACACACACACATACATGTTCGCACACACACACACACACACACACACACACACACACACACACCAATGGTGAAGGCGAACGCGGCCTCATCTGTTGCGCCGGCGTCCGTCTGGACGGCGAGCAGCACAGTGTTCACCAGCACCATGAACGTCACCACGAGGTTGAACCAGCGCGACTTGACAACGGCGCCCAATCTGCAAGGACGTACGGCACAAGGCCACGCAGCAGCGTTGCACGTGGCATCATGGACTGGCTGTGAGTGCACAGAGGGGCACAGAGAGAGAAGAAAGAGAAGAAGGATAGGCGGATGTACGCAGACAAATTAACAGAGTGCGTACATGTGCATGTGTGCATGTGTGAATGTGTGAATGTGTGACACGGACTTTGAGAGCATCTGCACTGTCGCCGGCTTCAACAGTTCGTGCTGATTGTGCTGCGACATCGTGAGGATTTCGTTGTACTCCCGCAGTGACTTCACTTGGACGCCTGTCGCATGTGTGTGCATGTGTGTGTGCATGTGTGTGTGTGTGTGTGTGCATGTGTGTGTGTGTGTAAAAGAGAGTGAGGGAGTGCGCATGCGCATGTGTGCCAAAGGAAGCAGGTCATGAACAAAAACAGATGACGCAACGACGGTACATCTAAAAAAACGTGAAATGGTGTGTGCTTGCATACGCAGCGCACCTTGTTCCCCGAGCGTGCGTGTCTCATCAAGAATGTGGCCGTCGTGCGGATGCGCCAGCACAAACGACATCAGCTTGTCCCTGTCCTCGCCCTGCTCAGCAAACTTCTGCATAATGCGCGTGCGGATGTTGCTGATGGGCTCTGTTGGCTCCGCTTCAACAAAGTCTCTGCACGTGAACATCAGCAGCAGTTGCAATGACAATGAGATGGCGCGGCGTGGTCTCGTGCTGTGACTGTGGTGTGGTCGTGTGAATGAACGCAGTGCCGGGGCTGTGATTTGCACACCATGAACAGACACGCACCACCACGAATCATCAAATACGAGCCAGGGTGTGTGTGTGTGTGTGTGGTGTGTGTGGTGTGTGCGTGCGTGCGTGCGTGCGTGCGTGCGTGCGTGCGTGCGTGTGTGTGCGTGTGTGTGTGTGTGTGTGTGTGTGTGTGTGTGTGGCAACGCAACCATGAGGCCTTGTGTTCAAGCTGTGCCCTTTTCGCAGACAATTGCCGCGCACCGATTGCCGCTGGGTAGGGAGAGGCCGAGGACCAGCACGGTGGTCGCGTCATCGTCAATGTCGTCATCGTCGTCGTCGCCGTCATTCCCATCAGCACCGGCGCTGCTGTTGAAGAAGTTCTGCTCGTGCTCTGCCATGCTCTCCGCCGCATCAAACTTGAGAAACTGCAAAACACACACACATACATGGCCGCGGGGCGTGTGTGTGAGTGAGTGTGTGTGTGTGTGTGTGTGTGTGTGTGTGTGTGTGAGTGTGTGTGTGTGTGTGAGTGTGT